AAAGATTTGGCATGTGAAATTTCAAAATTTCTGATGCATAAAAGTATTTTTACTTTGCATGATAGATAGGCAAGATATCAAAAGAAAATAAGGCATGAGAGAAACATTGCTTTACAAACCTTAAGACTTAATAAAAAATTAGATATTTTACGTATGAAATCATTGTAACGTTTACTGATAAACTGCCAAATTTCATTAACATTCGCTTACTAATTTAAAAGTTATAGCATGAAAACTATAACAAAAACAAAATGGTTACAAGGTCAATTCCAAAGACCAAACCCGGGTTGAAAGAGTTAAGAGGACATTAGACATAATTAATATTGTTGCACCATCAACAGCAATTTATCACTTACTATTTTATGAAATAAGAACAAACAATTTTAGACATTAGAAGACTAAAGCTATTTAATTAGGCTGTTTGATCATTAGCAATAAGAAACAAAGACAAAAGTTGTATATCTAGTAATAATGACCCAAGCTTGACTTTACTAACTCCATAAATTCAGACTATTTGATATTCCAGTGATTATGAAGTCAACCACCAATTATGCAATCATATGAAAAATATAAAATCCCACAGATACACTAATCATAGTAAGCATTGGACCATGTGTAATATACTTTGTGTGTGTCTGTATGTTTGTGTTCATTTGTTTCTGAAATAAACTTCTCACATGGAATTAGAAAAAATTAATATAATTTAATGTACAAATTTTTAATGGGGTTGAATGCTCAACTTAGAAACTTGAGTAATTTAGTTAAATTGTTGAACATTCAGCTGTTTTAAAAGTTAAAATTTTTGGTAAAGTTTATGCAAATAGATTTTGATATTAGTATACCTAGAAAAAATGGCTTTACATTTTTTGATTTAACTAAATTGTCTAAAATGTGTCATTTTGGTATACATTAATAATAGATTGCTTTTCTTCTATTCTTAGGAAGAGGGAACAGCAAAACAAACAACCAGAGTGTTCAGTATACATGAGGATGTTGGGAAAATCTCTTTTGCACTTGGCCATGAATTAGGTAATTTATTAACATGATGCATTTCACATGTAAAAAAAAAAAAAAATTATAATGTTAATAGTTCAAATTGAGGAGCGGCACAAAAACAAATGTTTTGAAAATCTGATTATCTTGGTATGTTAAACATACTTCATGTCTAATAAGTGCAATGGTCTTTAAGTTGATATTCACATGTTAACTTTACCTGCATGTGACTTTATTGTACCTCTCTGCAGCATTCCCTCTTAGCTGCTTGGCCACACAACAACCAATCAAGTGCCGCGCGCTTCATTATTCCAGCCGTGCATATCCTCAGTGATGGTGAGGAGTTTCAACAAATTGACAGCGTTAATGACACTGGTAGTTGATAGGCCCAAAGCCCAAATTACCAACTGATATCATTGCAAAGCAGCCTAATTATCCAATAAGGTGGATGGTATAACCCCCCCCCCCCAAAAAAAAAAGAATGGGGGAAAAAAACTTGATACTGGTATATGTGAAAACATTCATTCCGCACATGGATTGAAAAAAAATTGGAAGGAACATTTCCCCTCAGTAAAATTTCACTCACTACTTTAAAATTTGTGTCCTGGATTACTCACTTCTGCATACTGTATGAAGTTGACTATATCTTATGAAATGTAAGTTTAAGAATGCATTTATTGCAAAATTAATTGATTTGTTTTCACATACTTCGTATTACATAGTAATAGTATACCTACAGTTTATTTTACCTTGTTTGAGTGCAGTGCTAGTGAGAGTGCTATAGTAGAATAGTCACTCTATCAGTCCTTTAAAGTACTTCAGATAATTTTTTCTTTTTTTAGTGTACATTAGTTAATTGTTTTTCAGCTATTTTTATGTGTACGTGTAAGCATTCCGGTGATTTTTCCTATTTTATTGTTACTTTACTAGACAGGCCTGGATTTACAATGGCACCAGGCACACACACACACACATTTAAGGGAGCCCATAATGGTTTCTTTTTTTTTTTTAATGAAATAACCTTGATATAAGGATTTATTAGTATATTAATAATAATTTTTATAAAACTAAACTACAACCAATGATATGGAGAACAAAGTAAACACAAAATATTCTGTATGAGAACATTTATACACAAGATGTGTGGGCATATTCACAAATGCTGCTATGTTATTGATTGTTTTCATGTATGGGACTTGTGATTTGAATCGTGGTGCCATACCAACAAAACCATTAATCCACCCCTGCATCTCGATCAGAGCTGGGGTGATTGTTTTTTTCCCATAGAATTGCTTCGATATTTATTCTGATATACGTTAGTTAGATATAGTATTCAATGTAAGTGAATTTAGGCTATAAGATGGGGAAAAAAAAAAAGATGAGGATTTTAAGAACACAGATTGAAGCTTTAACCTATTATAATGTTTTTCTGGTTTTAGTTAGTAGTCTCTCTCTGTTAATTGTGTGCTTGTTAGTTACTGATGTGATATGTACATTTAGCTTGGATATGTTATCTTGTTTGGTTTTAAAACAGAGATTGAAGAATTTTCTCTTAGCATGCTTAATGTTAGTTTTGTGCTTTCTTGTCTCTCTGGTGTGTATTGCAGTTGTGGTATACATTATTTTTTTACTACTTAAAGGGTTCGTATGTTTACTTAGAGTGTACATGTAAGTGTATTATAACAAATAGTTAACATAATTGAATCAGTAATAGCCATTTTTATTTTACCAGTTTTTGAAGAAAAGTTACACGTAAATGTTGCCTAATTTTCTTCGGTATATTAGCAAGCAAAGATAACAATTATTTTCATGTACACATAAAAAAATTCATCATTGTGTTTTTTAAATCAAGACTGTTGTAGTTACATTTGTCTTTTTTTTTTAATTTATATTAAGCAGCTAGTGTTATCACAAATTGTGTGTTTTGTTTTATATTTTTAAAGTTGATATTCTTTAAATAGTTTCCACTGTTGATTGGCTGTTATCACAAGGCTCCAAGGAAGGACAAAGTAAAACAGATTTATACGTTGTTACGTGGAAGACAACAGACAGTGTCCTGAGAAGTGTTCAGGAGACAAGTACTGATCGTTGGGTTACCAGTGTACTCCAGGTTCTTGATCAAGTACAGGTTAAACTAAAGAAATTTAGAGGTACCCTGACGGAAGAATCCAGCCCATATAATGTTGTGGAATTTTACCTAGGTTTGAGCAACATGATCCTTAACAAGTGTTTCATCCTAGATTATGGACAGCAGCTACCAGTACCTAGCCTCTCGTATACCCTCTTCATCCAGGGCATGTCTCAACGATTTGGAGAGTTAGCCTTAGGCACAATTTACGTGAAATCAGACTTGCCATTTAACAAAACTGGATATTTATCATTAAGAGAAGGCAGCACTCAGCTCATGAGCACATCATTCCATTTTACTCCAAGGGCCAGAGCAAAATGGGCAGAACTTCAAGAACAGGAGCCTGGGGTAGAGCGGGTTTTGGAAATGGTGGCCGAAGACATACTAGCAGGTGGGCAAATGCGTGGAGGGAGTGAATTGGCGAAAGCTTACCTGGGAGGGGTGACAGAGGAAGTAGCAATGCTGCTTTTAACAAAGGATGTATTAAATGCCACACTGTCGTCATCCATTCAGAGACTTTCTCAGCGTACTCATAACACCTTGGCCTTCCACATGTCTGTCTGTGTTGTTGCAGTGGTTGCTGTTATAGTGTGTCTTATTATCACTGGCTGTGCCTTCAGACACATTGGCCAAAACCAGGGAAATTTTATCAACTTCAATAATACTTCAAGTGCTGACTGTCCTGAAACCCACGATAAAGCTCAGATTTTGTCTGGTAGTGGTTATTTTAAACCTCAGTGTCATTTGTAGAACTTTAAGCTTTATAACTTTTAAATAGTAGACTAAGGAATCTCCATGTATGCATTTTGCTTTTAGTAATGTACTTTTAATGTAATAATTTGTGGGTCAAGTGTATTCTGTACGTGTAAAAAAAATAAATAAATAAATATTGTTTATATACTTACATGCCTTTTTCTTTCAGACCTTGTTTTTAGTATAATTTTTATTCTGAGTGAAATATCCGGTTTTGAGATGAAACTTAATAATAAATGTGTGTGTGTGTGTGTGTGTGTAACACTATTAACGATGGGATTTAGTTGGAAAATATTGAAGGGGTTAACAGCTGGATGAAAAAGAAGACATAATTTCTCGAAGTCATTAGACTTGGGTGTGGTAATGAATGTCAATCTTGAATAAAATGAAAAGTTATTTATCAGTAAGTAATACAAATGTCTAACTAAATATCTGAAAGAAAATAAGTATGCATTTCACGTGTATTAATCACATTTGACATATGAACCTGCAATTAATAAACTTGGAGCAACAACAACAATATATATATATATATACACACACACACACACACACACACACACACACACACACACACACACACACACACACACACACACACACACACACATATAAGTGTAACCAGTAATAGCCATAATAAAAAAAAAACTTTCATCAATTTCCTTACCTTTTCAAAAGTTTTAAAGAAAAAACATCAAAATTTTGTTCAGATGAAATAATTGTGAAGTCCATGAAAAAGAGGAATTGCATTATAAAAAAAACTTTTTGGTCCAACCAGAGCTGTTTAGTACACTAATCTCAATTTGTATGTATTATGTCATATTATATGTTTGGCCATGCTTTGCCTAGTAGTAGTAATGTTGAACTGGAGATCTAAGGATCTGGAGTTTGAAACGATGCTGCTGAACACACTCTCCACTTCAGGTTATGGGGGATTAGAATGACCATACCTGGATCATGATTTGGCTGTTTAGCCTATGTCCACATTGATATTGTTCAGATTATAATTTACATATTGGCATTCCATATAGCCATCCCTGATTCTGAATTACTGACCAGAGGAAAGCCTGACAGGCAGCACCACCTATTGATACTAGGCTTTTTTTAATCAAATAACATGATTGACTGTCACATTTATAATGCTTCTACAGCTGAAATAGCATCGTACGTTCAGTTGGCATTACGTCCCTGAGTACCAGACTATTCGTGCGTTGTCTGACACACTAAGCATTAGTTTGTAATATGGGCTGAACAAAAGATAAAATATTAGCATAATATTTTCTTATTATAGCTGGGTGATGAATTAGTGTCAGGTAAAATAACTAACTGAAATTAGTGTTTTCGATTATTCCAGCTATCCATGTTATAGAAATATTGTCATTATTATTTGATTAATCAATTAGTGTGTTTGTGATTATCCAAGTATCACGTGACAGTAATAACGAATTAATTGAATATTAATCGATTATCAAATACAACTAATCACTCAACTGTATTATTTACAAAATAAATGAAAAATTTGCAATTTAAAAACGTGCAAATAGGGATCGTAAGCAAATAAGGCTGGATATTCTGTAGACGTTATTTACTGAAAATACAGATCCTTGTTTTAGTTCAGTGCTGTCACCTAGAATTACATAGTTACTAACGTTCAAATGATCTTTTTTATTTTACAACATACATATTACAAATCTACATGAAGTTAAAATAAGGCCTAAAGCAATTTGAGAAGAAATTGAGGTTGAGAGGAATGAGAAATCTTGTTACTTTCTCTTAAACGACTTAATATCTCTTTTGGAAAGATTTTTTTTTTTCAAAATACTTTAATTACAAAAATCTACTGGTTCAGCGGAAACTTGTGCCTATAACTAATTCTGCGTATCAGGTTTTCATTCAAGGAGCTTTACTTAGTATGTTTAATTAAAGTATACCCCCAAGATACAATTAAATAGCATATTGTACTTATGTCTTAATATCTGTAAAATAAAAATATATAGAATTTTAGTCAGTGGACTAACACGGATATCTCGGCAGTTCTCACACCAAATTTAAACTCTCTGTGGACCACCGCGGATATCTCTGCAACTGTCACACTCAATTTAAACTCTTAGTGGATTAACACGAATATCTCGGCAATTTAAACTCTCAGAGGACTGACTTGGATATCTCGGCAGTTCTCACACCCAATTTAAACTCTCGGTGGACTAATACGAATATCTCGGCAATTGTCACACCAAATTTAAACTCTCAGTGGACTACCGCGGATATCTCGGCAACTGTCGCACTCAATTTAAGCTCTCAGTGGATTAATACGAATATCTCGGCAATTTAAACTCTCAGAGGACTGACTTGGATATCTCGGCAGTTCTCACACCCAATTTAAACTCTCGGTGGATTAATACGAATATCTCGTCAATTGTTACACCCAATTTAAACTCTCAGTGGACTACCGCGGATATCTCGGCAACCGTCGCACTCAATTTAAGCTCTCAGTGGATTAATACGAATATCTCGACAATTTAAACTCTCAGTGGACTGACTTGGATATCTCGGCAATTATCACACCCAAAAATAACCAGAGTAATATTTCACTGGTGCATTTTCACGTCATGAATTCGAACCCAAAACTGTTTGCCTCAAATGGTGTATTCACGGAGAGTTCGAGAACTTTCACCCATGGGCGTCCGCAGAAATTTTCTAGTGGGGGGGGGTGTCTAAATCAAGAGACAGTGGATCCGCCTTCAAAGTTTTGCCATTACAGTCAAGAGAATAGCCAAGTTCCCACCGTCACATTTGATGGGTTTAATATTTGTAAGGTTAGTTTAAGCCATACTGCAGACTTGCAGCTACAAATACTCCATTTTGGTTGACTTCAATCACACTGTTTCATAGAATGTCTGTGAGACTGCGTCAGTCTCTTGGTGACCTGGCGCTGGTATTACAGACAGGCGGCAACAGGTTCACCCCAATCACAC